ACCTAAACCACTTTGTGTTTTAACAGCTCGTCACTAAGGGCAATCAAAACTCCACACCCCCTCATCCCAAACACTTCCAACTCTATTTCCCTTTCCCTAGCTTTTCTTAGTACTATCATCTCAAAGTCGTCACCACAACCAACCATTAGATGTTTCCACATCTAGATCTCTTTAAAACTTCTTGCCAGCGTTTCTACAAGGAAGATGCACCAGAAAAGACGTTCAGCGGGGTTACTCAACAGGAATGTAAATCAAAACCACAATGACCTATCACTTCACGCCTACCAGGAAGATGGACTCAAACTTCAGATTGACAAGCATTGACTGGCATGCAGGAAACCCTCATAGAATACTTGTACATAGGATATAAAATGTTACACCCATGCTAAAAAAACAATCTAGAAATTCCTTAGATACTTACACACAGTGCCTGTACATAACCTAGGAAGGGCACAAATAAGAATCCAATCCAGAGAAACCAACACTTACAGAGATCCACAAAAAACAAACACTTCAGCCCAATGTTCACAGTAGCATTATGCACCACAGCCCGAGGTGAGAACAACCAAAGGCTGAACGCATGAAGACACTCTACAGAGCGGAATGTATTTAGTCAGAGTAAATGCAACACTGACATTCAGGATCCCACACAATCTAGGAAGACAGGAAGGCAAAACAAGCTAGTCACATGATGCATGCTTCAATCATGTGAGTTATCCAGGATCTACTACAGGAATAGAGAGCAGATCTTGGTTCCTAAGAGCTGGAGGATAGTACAAGCGTGGGATTAGAGGCAAAAGGATTGGCTTTTTGTATTATTTATTTATAATTACTTATTCAATCATTCATATATCTGAGAAAATGACAGAGCCAGATGTTTCACCTGCCGGGTCACTCCCCGAACGGCCTCAACATCCTGTCCAACTCCCCTCTCAGCCAAGAACTTTTCATATTAGCTTTAGGGCATCCCACCATTTTATCTTCCGAAATTCTGAACAATGAAAACACTCAGATGTCCTGCTCGCCCAGAACTCTGCCTGCATGAAGTAAGCTTTCACCCAGCCACTCCTGGCAGCCACCTCTCAGACTGAGGGAAGCCGGGAGTGAATGGCAGCAGGCGACACTTTTGCTCCCGAGCCTTGTGGAAGGGCAGTCTTCACGCTGCAGTCACACCCCGCTTAGGGGCCTTCATGTCCATTGGGGCCAATTTTCAGTTCCCATGTCCCAGAGCCCACGGTGGAAATGCCAATTACAAAACTCACTCCGGGAGCTAGAGCACACTCCAAATGAGCTCTCCCTAAAGGTGCAGATTGTCGATCACAGATCGTGTTTGTCATGAGTATGCTGTCTGGGCACATAGTTAACTACAAGTCACTTTAAAACAAAGGCAATTGTTAACCCTTCACCACACACTCAATTATCTGCTCTTCAATTAATACTGCAGATTTTAAATTCTGAGAAAAATATGATAACCTAAAGTGAAGTTTTCTTTTAGGAGTTTGTGTCACTAGAGACTCATTCACACTTTCATTCATTCGAAAATTAATACACACAGGACAGCTAAAAGCACTTGGTGAACAACAATGGAAGAAATATAATCCAAGTGGTCCTTGCCACGGGATGTGGATAGTCAGTAATGATGATGTCTTAAGCAGTCTGACAGAGGAAAGAAAGAAGGGCAATGATCTCAGACCTGTAGGTACGGAACAATCTTTGTGCACATTACAGAAATAGGTTTTTAATGGCAGCACTCAAGTGTTTATATACACTTGTTACGGTAATACTAACTAATACTTACAAATATCCAAATCATAATTTTCTGTTACTTAAAGAACCTGAACTCTAAAATCAGAACAGTTAATGACAACTTCCTTTTGGGGAAAAATTATTTGTCATTGACAAAATTCTCTTTTTAAGTCTTCATTTATTTTCACCATATTTTACAATCAGGGAGACCCAGAGGGGAGCTTCTCCATCCTTGAGTTCATGCCTCAGCAAGGCTGGGCTCAGAGTCACACAAGGAGCCTGCCACTCAACTCATTTTTCCACAGAGGAGATCTGATGTCATGCAGGGTGCAGCAGGACGCTGGCTCATGGGCAGAGTGATCAGGGCTTGACGAGGGTTCTCTGATTTCTCCTTACTGGTGACTTTGGGAGTAAGAATTGCATGTCCAGATCTGCCCTTCTGGGCTCTCCACTCAAGAAATGTTTTGCAACACAGACATCCAGTGAACACGTGGTAGAATCTTCCCTGACAAATGAAAATGTCTGTGATTGGGTGGGGGCAGAGAGAACTAGGATTCAAGGAAGTTTCACGAAGCTGACTTTTCCTAAAACCCATGCCACAGTCACCAATTTCAATAATCAGTAACACAGCTCACCAAAAAGTGTCTAGATTCATTGAGAAACATAGGAGAAAATGATGCAAACAGGGGAGGAGAAAGATCAGCTGGCTGGGAAATAAAAAAGATCAGATACAAGTTAAGAATAGGAAGAAAATGACAACTTGTTAAAGGGACAATTAAGGCGAGACTAGATGGCAGGGAATTATTTAGCATATAAAAATGAAATTCCAAGCAGGACATTAAATTCCTTACACTGAATGTTCTTTGCAAAGTCTCTCATTCCTTGGCAGGTTCAGTAGATGAAGCAATGCTCTCACAAAGACAGTAACAGAAATGCACGCTTAGCTTCCAGTATGGGTTTTCATTGATCAGTCGGAGGATTTATCTTCCCCAGTGTAACGCAATACCCAGGACTCGCCCCAATTGCACCTAGCTGCAGCTCTGGTCTTTGTAAGCTGGAGGGCAATTACAGAGAAGCAAGCAGGGCACTGTGGTTCCTTCTCCTTGTTTGGTCTTAACTTTATACTCAGAAAAGAACACCTGAACTTGAAGGAATCGATCGTGGTTATGCTCTTTGAATTGCATGTGTATTATGAAATTCATGTATGCCAATTTCTAGAGATAATGTCTTCTATGGTTTGACATTCAATAGTAACTTAAATATCATTTTACTATCTATGCCTTACCAACCTTCCCTTCCTTGAAGTCAAAACCAAGAAATGTGGTGCTAAAAATATCAAAAATATTCTCATTTCTCTCTCACACACAGGGGTGGGGAGGGAGGGAAGAAAGTTTCTCCCACACATACAGAGAAAGTGGAAAAACGAAAGTGGTAATGTGACGAGATGTGATAAATGTGTACTAAAACATTAAATGATACACAACATTCCACATACATAATTTGCATTTGTCAATCATATCTCACAAAAGATCGTAGTGTGCAGATTACCAAAAACTCCACGTGCAAGCTTCTGCCTAGATTGAACAAAGTTACACACAAGAAAGAAGCACACGCTTTACCATGAAATGCATACGCAATGTAAACACGCTCTCACTTCCACAATTCATTCACTGAAAGTTTTACAAGATTCCATCTATAGAGGTAGTATTCTTCTATGCTGAGATACGGGAAATAACTTCTTTAATGATAGTATGCAGTAGGAAAAATGGTCCAGCTTTACACAACATCCCCAGGGGCTGCCATTGTGTCATCCCCCATGAATGTGGGTTCAGGTCCTGAACACAGCACTTCCAACCCAGCTCCTCACCAATGCCCCAAGACAGGCAGGAGAGGAGAGGCCTGGCACCCGAGTGGGACACTACAAGGAGCTCCTGACAAAGTAGCTGTCGTCAGACACTGTGTATATATAGGGGTTAGGGAAGGGACTGGGAGGGAGAAGGGCTGGAGAGCAGGGAAGCACAGGGAGTGAATGAAAACAAAATCTGCTTCATCTTGAAACTCAAGAAAAGGCCCATATCTCCTTCCCTGTATCTTTGATATCAGCTAGCATTATGCTTAAATTCAATAAATGTGATGAACACATCAGAATAAAATTTTTCTGACAAGTTCAGAGTGGGATAATTCAACTATTTACCCTCAAATTGGAGTCTGTGCAGTTATGTTCTGTATTCTTTATGCATGTGCAAGCATTCACTTCTGTAAAGACTGCTCTTCAATTCTTAGGACCAAGGGAGGGAAGTGGCAGGCTGCGTTTTGTTTTCCCTCAATTACGTCTGCTCTAATCTGTGAAAGGTCACTTAGAAACTCCAGCAAACGTGAGCTGCGTCATTTCTAAGTTTTTGTATCTAACTTGGGTCGTGAGTACCTTTGACACCTGTCAATATCTGTTTGGCTGTTATACCTGAAGATGAAAATCCAGCAGGACTCTTTCAGAGTACAGGCTTAACCACCCCTGCCTGCTGGCATCAAGTACAAAAATGCCAAATCCACTGCATAGCACCTTTGTTTCTCACGGTGGTCCTGGGCCTAAAAGCAGGATTGTGGGCCAACTGTACCAATATGGGAGACCTGGAAGAAACTCCTGGCTTCTGGCTTCAGCCTGCCCCAGCTCTGGTCATTGCAACCATTTGAGGAGTGGAAGAAGATGGGAGACTTTCAATGTGTTACTACCTCTATCTCTATGCAGCTTTGCCTTTCAAATAAATTAATAAGTCTCTAAAAAAATAAAGTAACGAAATGGAAAAGGCTTTCTAGGAATGAGTGAGGGTTCCTGAGGTGCAGAAGGAAAATTGGAAATGACAGTGAGCCCGAATGAACAAAACACTAATTCCTGAAATAAACACTAGAAGAAAACATAAATTGGTTTGTAATCCAGATAAACAAACCTTGTGTTCAAAAGCACAGCAGATGAAAATGTCATCTCATTTTTAAATGTCAATTTTGCATGCAGAAACAGCACATGGAGCCACTAACCAGGCAAAGCACCTCAGTGACTAGCTTAAAACAGTTTAGATGGCCGAGTAGAATGGAGTGATCCGTAATTTTCAGATATATGTCATGGTTGTACATAACAGAATTTCATAAATTGTTATAAGCCGTTGTGGGTTCTAGATCACTGAGCATGTTTTAAATGCTTTCATGTTGAAATATTTAATAAACACATCGCAAGTATATAGCGTTTTACAAACTGGTACCTGCAAGAGTGTTGTTCTGTGGAGCTTCAATGCCCCCTTCTGGTGGATTTTAGCAAAGCATCCCGAGCAGTAATCTTCCCCACATTCAAGGCAAACCTGAAAAAGATATGTATGCAAAATCTTCATCATAGTATGATTTGGGAAAGCTTTCACACAAATATTTTGTTTTCCAGTATCTCTCCCCAATTGCATACATGTAAATCATTAAAATTTAGCAGTCCTCAAAAAGCTTGGTCCACTGCTCCCACCCATCCGGATTTAACTCTGCAATACACATGAATTAGCCACAAATCAGTCAGATTTAGATATAATTGTTACACTTAGGTATGGGGGAACAATTTTTGAATAATGATGCGAGCACTTATAAATAAATACATTACCCGTGGATTCTGTTTATGACTGCTTTCGAATTTCTGCACACATTTATATGCATAATCTGTTTCAAATGAAACTTAAACTACTTGCCCCAAAACACACAAATCCACTTCCTCACAAGTTACTCTTATGCACTGGCTATTTCTACAGTCTTATTGTTAGAATATTCTCAGAAAATCGACCAGGAAAATGAAGCACAACGGATGTAACTACATTCTAGAATCACCAGTGTGTCTAACTGGGAAAATGACAGATTTTCTCGAGCCTCCCAAATCTCTACAATGCTGAAATAGAACCTTAAAAACGAGAGCACAAACTCATAATGTACATCTCCCCTGTAACAGAACCAAACATGACCTAAAGGATGAACAGAATCAGTGTTGGAAATAACTTTAGCCAGAGGCTCCAGTGCACATGGCCAGGAGCACACATCCTCTGGGGAAAGCTTGCCTTCTTGGAGAGGAACTCCAGTCCGACTGTCCTTCTCATTTCCTCTCACACCACAGCCTTACCAGCGCATGGTAAAATCAAACAGCAGGAGGTGCCCGGCCAGAGGTCAGTGTGTGGAGAACTGTGCTGGTCCCTGCGTGACAGACTGTAATACAGTGACACATGATTCACCTGTGGCTTTGGCAAAGGCAGACGATGGGCAGCGGGTCTGCACTGGGACCTACCACCTTGCCCTCTAACAAGCCCCAGGCGGTGCTTGGCAGACGTCTCTGCAGTGACCCTAGCTTATTTGAGGGCATTTCAAACACCTCACAGTCCAATGAAACTAAGTTTATTTTGGTGCCAAAAAAGTTGCAATCCATGCACATGTTTTTTCCATGGGACATATTTTCCATAAATGTTTTGAACACTTCTCATATATGATCTAGAAAAGCAAACTAAAGTCTTAAGAGAGTTTTTTTTAAAAAGATTTGTCTTATTGGAAAAAAAAGATTTACATTTTAAAACAGTAGATTTACATAAAGGAGGAGAGACCACTGATTCACTCCCCAAGTGGCTGCAATGGCCAGAGCTGAGCTGATCTGAAACCAGGAGCTTCTTCCAGGTCTCCTACACAGTTGCAGGAACCCAAGGCTTTGGGCCATCATCGACTGCTTTCCCAAGTCACAAGCAGGGAGCTGGATGGGAAGCAGGGCCACCAGGACACAAACAGGCAAGCATATGGGATCCCAGCGTGCATACAGCGCGGATTTACCCACTGAGTCAAGGTTCTGGCCCGAAAGAATTTTTAATGGTGTAAAATTGCATTTGAAGTCCCCATATGAAGGCATTATTACCTAAAATTATGTAATCAAGTTTATTTTTAAAAAATAATTAGGATAATATTATTTTAAAGAGTAATCAATTTCATACAAGTACCACTAGCAAGTATCAGAAATATGCACAATGTTCCGTGAGCTCCGAATGGCTGTCTAATTTCATTTAGTCAGCACAGCCTTCTGTCAGGGGACAGTCATTATTGTCCACCATCAAGTGGATGACCTCAAAAACGGACCTAAGGATCAAGAACGTGTCCACAGTGACCCAGTGTCATAGGCTCAGTTCTCAGAGCCAGCCATGATACACACTGAGCACTGGTTGCAGCCATAACCACTTAGCAGAGACCCCTAATGAAATCTGTCATCAAATAAAACAATGTTTCAAATGACTGAATGACCTGCTTAGGCAGTACTTCTCAGGGCTGATTAGCTATCCAGAACTGGGCCTTTATTTAAGCACAAGAAAATATGATTCCTAATATAGAAATCAATTCTACAGTTTTAGCTCTGATTTCAAGAGCTTCCATGTCACAGAAATAATGAAAATTTTGCCTCAAATTTATAATGTGAGATGTAAAATGAATTAAGACGTATCATTTCACATAAAATATGACAGGTCTATTAATATTGGTTTCAAAATGCCTAGTGTAGTGGCTACTGTTTTAATGAGTTTATGACAAATTTGGGGCACTGGTTGTATTTGAGGCACAAAGTAATAGTTAACTCAGCTTCTGGTTGAGTCTACGCCAAGCACTTGCCTACAACAGACTTTGACCGAAGCACTCACACAGCGTCTGTAGGCCAGACCATGAAATCCAGAGTTCTGGAGTAAGTTCGTGTATTTTCTCACTCCTTGCGTTGAAACAATGAGTGAAAATGTCAGCAAATGGAAAGCATATTTAAGAGGCTTGTATAAAGAAATCCTGTAAAAATGTGCCTAAGAAATCCACCGTACGACAGCTTCGTCCGTGACGCCCGAGCACAGCTTCAACACGAATCTTATGAATTTGATGAAGGCCAGTCTGTTGGATGAAACCTTTAGAATCTATCTGAATTTAATTAAAGTATCCACATCTGCCACGTTGATAGGCGATTTTTATATTCAGCACTTCAGTTCTGCCAATAAGAAACAGCTTAAAGTGACTAAAATTTCTTTTTAAAATAAAGTTTTTGGAAGTCACAAGTTTCATCTTTGCTATCAACAAAATCTTAGCCGTTTGTCAATTCTTCAGGTTACAAGAAAATGTTGCCAACAAAAATACCCAACTTGTTATCTCTTATTACATGTCTGACATCTCCATGGGCATTAACTCATGAGCCTCAGTAAATTTTGAAGAACAGACTATTTTTGTCCCTGTTATTATATTTTTGCATATGAGAAACTAGATAAAGAGTGGTTAAGTCATTTGCTAAACATGAAATAGCACAGGCTCTATGCTGTGGCACAGCAGGTAAAGCCAGCTCTGTGAGTCTCAGCCCCCACTTTCACTGCAGCTCCCTGCCAACATGCTTCCTTGGGGCTCTGCACTCACGTGGGAGACCCCGAGCAAGCTCCTGGCTTCAGCTGGCCCAACTCTGGCCAGACAGCCGTTTGGGGTGCAGCCAGGGGTGGAAGGTCTGCCTTCTAAATAAAGACAAAATAACTGAAAACAGGCAAAGCTGATATTCAATTCTCTGAAATTCAGCCTTTTTAAAAAATTCTTATTTTTGTCAAGGAGAGAAAAAAAAAAGAATGTGTCATTTGAGAATTAAAGACATTTTGCATAAATGCCCATATCAGCCTAGCACATTATAGAAAAAATAATTAAACACACCATAAACAATCAAATAGTATCCCAGATGTGAATCAACAAGCAAATACAATACATCCATAGACCAGGATGGTGCCTAATAATGGAAATTAACATATTACAGATAAATCTGACAACATTTTCCATCAACTCAAAGCTCAATCTCCATGTGGAGTGAAAGAAACCCAAAGATACTATGCCATTGCATCCCGCAAAGGTACCAGAGCAGGCACAGGTAAACCTGGGGGCTTAAAAGGCAGAGCTGTGGCCTTTGTAGTGAGGACGGAGCAGAAGACACACACAGAACAGCCCGTGTGCACTCATCAAACGGTATTTCATTGCACATTCTTGATAGGCCCATGTCACCTTGAGTAAATTATGTTCTTCCAGAAGAGCAAGAGAGTATGACAGGAGCATCAGCGAATGCTCAGAACGTTACCACAATAGGATGCAGAGGGAGATGTGGAGATTGAAGACATTTTGTTTAACACTTGGTTTGATTTTGGTTTTGAAAGGGAGACACTGCAACATGTTTATGTGCCAAAAGCAGGCTGCAGAGGGGCAATGACAAGACAGACGTAGGGGTGATGTCCTTGAACAGAAATGACAGAATGAGATTCAGTGATTTCGCTAAGGAAGCTTAGCTGTGGGCCTTGCCTGGCACGTGTCACTCATGTTAACAGAGTGAAGAAGATAAAGATGGGAGCAGCAAGTGCACACGCACTCTACTCCCACGACTTCTCACTGGCACCTACCAGAAGAGCAGCTTTGTTCTCACACTGGCCACACACCCTCCCTTTGGTCTTGGGTTTTTCACTTCGCAAAGAATCTGCCATTTTAGAATTAAATGGCTGTTTCACTGACTCTGGAAGAAAAACAAGTGTCATACAAACCCTTTAGAATATGACATTTAGCTTTCTATTGATAAAGCAATGAAAACCATTCATTTACCCAAATTCTCAGAGAGTATCTAAAGACTACCTGCCCTGTAAAAATGAGAGCTCGCCAACTCTAACCTGTAAGTCGACGGCAGGAGCCCACCGTACTGTCCCCCCAACGAGGTCTCATAGATCAGCGCTGCACATCACCCATAGCTATTCTGCTTAAAATTCACAGGAAGTGAACACATGGCATTATCAATGTTAAAGCTGTGCTCTTGGTAGAATTTTGTGGTATTCCCCTTTAACTCTGAATCAAAGTGAAATCCATGCTGAATAAACTGTAAATATTGATAATATTATTTATTTATGCATTATGATATTTAAATCTGAAAAATCTACTAAATTATTAACTGTATTTGTCCACCAGGGAAAAAATCTTATTTTAAAATTATTACATAATCAATTTTTCTGTCCACTTGAACAGTTTAAAGTACCAAGCAATTTTTCAATTTATTTAATTTTATAGAGGTAGAATTCTATATCATAACTTTATACTGCTAAATTCTCCTTCTGGTTAAAAGTTTGTATCAGTAAAGTTTTAAGTAGTGGTGCTATTATATTCTAATTCTGGAAAAATAAAGTGACTGTGATCAAGTTCTAAGATGAACTTTTTGACAGAAAGTAAGCCCACAGCTTCAAAAATTTAACTTAGATAAAATGTACTTTGAAAGTCAAGTTGTAGTAACACTAAGGTTTAAAACTTTTATACTGTTTGAGCAATGAGAGCACTTTCATTTTACATGTAATTCAAACAGAAAAATAAAATGAATTGTATCTTTATCATTGATTAAAACCATGGCAAATTACCTTGGGTCTGCTCCTTCAGGAATTTAAATCTCAAATTCTGGCCTGAAAACTGTGTAAAAATAAACGATACTTTTTGTCAAGTACACATTATCTTGTTGAAAGAAATATTAATTGAGTTTTAACAAAAATATTAGAAAGTTATGCCATTATTCACTATCTTGAACAAAAATTACTTTTGGAAAGACAATATAAAATTAGTACATCATCATTAAAGCAAACGTAAGCCCAAGTATTTACAAAGAGAAAATTCATTAAAAAGAGAATCAAATTTAGAAACATCTATAAACCAGTTTTTTTTACATACTACATTTTTAAACAAAAAACCACATATTGTCAAAAAATTATTCTAAGAAAATGCTAATATTTAAACCTTGTAAAGATTCAATAAATATTTTCTATTCATGCTCTTTCTGAAACATAAATTTTAATATTTTTGCATTCTGAATCTAAATTCTGATTGAGTCTGTCTGCTTATATACCATAGCAGACAATTTGTGCAGTTTAGAGAAGCGAATGTTTAAACATCACAAACTCAGCTTTCAAACGCAGTATTCATGAACTCTGACTTTCCTACATTGAAGCCAGAAAAATCAAGAAACTGAAACTCAGTACGAGGTATTTCAAATAAATAATAACTTAAAAATTCTGGGATCTTAATCTTCTAAGAAATAATAAGCATTTGCCAATTGCCTTGGTCTTACTAAACCAACATTTAAAAGACACAAACATGGAGAATGGTGTCCATTTATACCAGCACTGTCAATTCATGCTCAGTGTTCAGTGTGCATGCTCAATTACCCAATTTGTACATGAGAATGCAGGGACAATGGGCCTCTCTGTGTCTAGGGCTGTACCAAGTGCAGTCATCTTTGAACATTGAGGCCTGATTATTCTCAGTGAATCTAGGGGTCCTGCTTCAAAAGAACCTTACTGTTCACATTCTTTGAAGTAGCCATTCAGATGTTTTCTGTGCCAAACACAGCGAAAGAGAAAACAGAACTGAAATAATTGATTTCTCTATGAATCCTACTTTATTTAAACTGGAAATGTTATACACGGTATAGATAATTTAATCTCTCTTTTCACAACCAAGTTATCCAATATGACTACTTTGATGATCTATCTGGGTTGCATCATAGGCTGTGTTTATCCAGGTTACCTGGTCACACTGCATAACTGATATACCCAGACAAAATAAACCCACTGTTAGGGAAATTGTGTCATTTTTTTTCTATTGTGAGTAAAGTTTCTCTGTTCTATGAATATAGACATATTCACTTCGAATGATTCAAAATGCACAAAAATATTTCAGTGAACAAGCTGCTCCTAGCTAAATAACAAGTGCCTGTGAAGTCTGATTTCCATCTGCGAAGGGTTGGGCGTGGAGTAGGAACAGACCAAGGAGGCACTTGCACAGCACACAAATAAACGTAACATGAAAACTGAACGTCAACAAGTCACTCAGCACTTCTCTGATATCCTTGAAGATTTCCATGTCCATATTTACCAGGCATCTGGCACTGAAGACTCTGCAGCATGCTGGCCTCTGTGACCATCTGAATGACTCTCAAGTGACCCCACCATTGTGACCAGCGCTTGCATCTAAGCAGCATGGTCACTGGCCACACCTTCCAAGTCCCAGTCACAGCATCTCCCATATCCACCCACTACCTAAAGGGGGCTCCCAAAATCTGTGCTGAGCATCTTCAGAGGCTCCATGGCTTTCTAGCCGTCCAGTCGTGCACTCGCTGCAGAGGTTGATTCCCAACCTTTTGAATTCCCAAGAACTCGAACTCATCCCATTCCCATCCCAGTGCCTGAGCAGAGAATGGTGACTTTGAGCTTACCAACACGGTACAGGATTTCCATTACGTTTACCCAACGTGTCTGACCAGCAAACCCATCCTCTAAAACTTACTTTGAGTCACACGCTTGCCCTTTTCTTGCCTCAGGAAAATGAAAATTATGTTTCTCTGTGGTGAAGGCCTCCTTAATGAACAATCTTTTAAAAGCAACATCCCCAGTAACTGGCCCTGATCATGTGTCTCTGCAATGCTTCCTTCACCAGTAGCCCACAAACTGGCTCACATCATCTCAGTGGGAACAACAGGAAATGTCACCTAGACACTGCCATACGTGTCCTAGGAAGCAAAATGGTTCCCTTGAGAAGCATTAAACCAGCAGTCAAAACTCTTTTCACATGCAATGTATTGGATAATACCGACTACAACATATGCTCTAAAAAGGCCTGCCTTTACTTTTGCACTATATTAATTCTGCTTCTAGTACATTTCTTTTTCCTCCCTGGGCTTTCTTCACTGGAGAGTGAGCCAGTTGCAATAGGCCTGGTACACTGCATTCCAATCTTTCTCCTGATGCTTTAGCTTTTATCAGATGTTAAGTTATTTGATCTATGTTTCCCAAATAAAGACGAGTGCTACTTAAGAGCGATACAAGCACTTAATGGAAAAAGCATTTTTAAAAAAAATAAAAATATGCTAAACTGTTGACTGGTATAAAATATTAATGTTCATTTCTGCCGTATTCCACAACTGGACATCCTTGAGTTTACATGCTGCAGACCTGTCCTCTTCCTGAAGATCGTTAGTTGGGACATTTATCCTGTTTCAGCTATCGCAAGAGGATTCAAACCAAACTCTAAGTACACATTCCAGACTTTTCTAACTCCTTTCCTCATTCTATCTCTGAATCAGGCCAGTATGAAACAGTGTGTTTGGCTTCCTCCTGTTTCTTTGTTCTCTTTATAATTCTTTTCTGCCATAGTTCTAACTCAGAATTCTTTCATCTGACTATCAGATTCTTCTAAGGCTGCCTAGTAGCCTCGTGGCCTGAACCGGTGACCTGCTTATAAGGTGTCTGCAAAAAGGAACTCAGAAAAGGGAGAATCAGAAACACCCACTCGTACCCACATTCACCTCATCTTCTTATCACATTCTATTTTACAGAGTCCAAATTCACTGGGTATTTGAGCGAGATCTTTCATCATGAACTATTAACTTTATCTTGCTATCCTCCTGCTCAGAAACTGTCAGGTAACTTCATTAAATTTTCAGATAATTTCATTAACATGATGAAACAAATCAAGACACCCAACTTGCCTGCCCAATCTTTCTTTCAAGAGCCATGTTGTGTAACTCCTCAGTTCGTTATACATTAACCACCCACTTACTTACTTAGGTGGCTTGTAGAGATTTACAATCTGACTTATCAATGCTTTTCTGTTAAATAACCCTTGTAGATTCTCCAATATTTTTAGCATTAAACTACTATTTCTCGAGAAGATTAACCATATGCTAAATGATAATAGCAAAAATATACATACTAAATTTTACCACAATTATTTGAGTCACCTCACATTTCAGTGAGAAAACAGTTAATAAATTCTGTTAAAGAAGTTTGTAAGCTTGAAGTTTATAATAGTGACGAGTCAGCATTTTAATATATCATATTTATAATAATATCTGAAATATGGAACACTATGTTGGCAGCATAATACAAATGCGAAGTGGAATATAAAATCTAAGTCCAAAAATTAACCTAACTCACAGAGGGGAATGACACCATAGAATAAAATGCTTTTCCAATGCCAAAATGTTCACAAGTGCCAAGTAAGATGATCCTGGATGCCAGCTGACTCAATGAATATTTAATGATAAAATTTAATCATAAAATTTAAGTTGTATATGTTTATGGCTGTGTAAGTTAAAACTTACAAAAGCATGCATCTTACACTATAGAATCCAGACATACTACATTTCCTTTATGCAAAGACATTTATTTGGTCTTGACCTTAAATGTAAGTTTTGTTCTATTTTACAATACCAGGTAGAGATGAGGCCAATGTATACTGGGAGACTAGAAGACGTTAGTTCCCTGACACATAGGGAAGCAAAACCTCACACAAGGAACAAGCTGCAGGGTCATGAGGATTACTCAAAAACAGTAAGAAAGCATGCTGTAATAAATACATACATCAAATTAAATTAACCTCCACTTCAAGAGAGAACTGCGTAATCTATTTCACATACTGTAAACTAGCACTGAACTGAATGGATAAAATCTACTTCAGAAACTCAGAAAAATTCACCTCAAATTGAGTTGAAAAACAACAAACAGAAACACAAATAAAGTTGTGTATTTATCTGAGTATAATAATGAATCAAATGTTGACCATTATGCTATTGTTAATGCAAGAATAGCTAACTCCTGAATCTAGAGGGAATGCAAGGTCTGAACACTGTAATTTATATCTGCGTGCCTAGCAAGTTGCTCAAGGAACAAATCCGATCTTCTCACCTTCACAGGATTCTCTTTGCTCTGCGGCATTGTGTGTGAGCGATTACCCAATTTGCCCACTTTGCCCGATTTCCAGTGGTAGCCACTTGACCTTCAAGATACATAAATAAGACCAAATGTAATTACTAAAAACATTTCTCCTTTTAATGAAAACAAATACATGCTCTCTGCTTCAAAGAATAGAAATTCAGTTGCTAACATGTTACAAAATACCACAAAATGAAAATTAAGCATCAAGAATGCTCCAATCTCCCCAGTGATTTGAAAAATATAGATAGCTCCGCTACAGTTGTGACTATTGTTGAGAAATGAGTAAAATGTCTCAACAAGGATGAAGAATTTCAGCTTTATTGTTTATTTTTATGACATTTACAATGACTAAAGTTAGCCTGGCTGACTTACAGGTACCTTTGCAGGTCATCACGAAACTTTTAAAGCAAAGAATTCACAAAAAAAATCAAGAGGAAAACAAAGCAAAACAACACCCAAAAATACTCAGCCACTCTCCTACACAGTAAATTTTTAAGACTTCAAATAAACCGCCATGTACTTTGCAAAGAAAACAAACTTAAGCTTTACTATTTTCAATGCATTTTTACTTGCAATCACCAGGACCCAGAGTTCAAATCTCATTTCAGAAATAATGAGACAACAACTTGCCCTGTGCTACATGGATACTAAACAAAGCCAGGATGAAAACCCTGGACTCGCACTTAGCTGACCAGTGACTGGCAGGCACTCATTCCGGCTTTGACATTTAATGTCTGCCTGACCTCAAAAAACAGTGTAAGTATTCTGAAAACTCAAACCTTGAATGTTTAAAAGGTTGCTACAAAAGTTTCCACAGCTAAGGAAAACTCAGGAAGTTTATGTTGAGAATTGGATCACCAGAAATGCCATGATCCACTGAGAAGCAAAAATTAAGTACAACTCAAAAAAGAGAAAAAGCTGGCCACTTGATTAGTAAGTGAAAAGCAACAACACAGAAAAATTTTCCAGGATTTGTGTTGCACCCCAGCATGTTAAGCAGCGCCCCTCTTTTTTAAGAATTTTTTTTAAAAAATTTTATTGGAAAGGCAGATAAACAGAGGAGGAGAGACAGAGAGGAAGATCTTCTGTCACGATTCACTCCACAAGCAGCTGCAACGGCTGGAGCTGAGTCAATCCAAAGCCAGGAGCCAAGAGCTCCTCCAGGTCTCCCACGCGGGTGCAGGGTCCTAAGGCCTTGGGCCGTCCTCAACTCTTTCCCGGGCCACAAGCAGGGAGCTGGATGGGAAGTGGGGCGCCGGGATTAGAACCGGCGCCCATATGGGATCCTGGCGCTTTAAAGGCAAGGACTTTAACCACTGCGCTATCGCATCGAGCCCAAAGCGCGCCCTTTCTAATTCTGATCCTTCTGCCTGCTAAAAGCAGTGGATGATGGCCCAAGCACAGAGAAAATGTATGTGTTCATGCTAGTACTTATAATCAGAAAATACTGAAAACTTAATAAACGTTTCACAGTAAATGAATTATATATTCATAAACACTGGTCAACTATTACTAAACTTGCTACTCTTTGTCTTCATTACTAAATTGTTTAAAGAGTACCTAACTATTACTAACAGAATGAGATAAACTGCTATATGTTCATATGGTGAGAACACTAAATATATTAAGTAAAACAGTAAGATATGACTTAATACCCATGCTTTATAGTCAACTTCATTTGTAGAAAAAAGGTATACATACACACACAACACACCTACACATTAAAACACACACCTTCTTACGCAGACATGTTTATAGGCACATATAAAGAGAAACCACTTGTGCCAAAAATAAAAAGTTAATCATTGCAAGTGAAGCGAGGAACAAAGATGGGAGTCACCCTAGAACTGAGAAGAGATTATTTGTATGATACCTGTTCATTCTGATTCTTCAATCCTTATTTTTTTTATAATACAGCAACAGTCTCAGTAATATTAATACAGATATCCAGGCATATTTGAGTTATCAATAATAACATTTTAGCTAATTGGCATTTGATTAAAACATTCCAAACATTTGTAAATATTCAGTGTCCGTGACATACATACATGTGTATTTTTGCCTATGAACATTTCAAAATGAACGAAAATAGTTCTAAATATAAACTGATTTCTTTTTTTAAAAAAAGAAAGATTTATTTGAGAGAAAGAAAGAGAAAGAAAATGAATTTCTGCCCTGCTGATTCACTGCCCAATGGGGGAAGCTGAGAGCAAAGGCTTCCATGCAGACCACTTTAAGTAACAGTGCCTGGATCGCTTAGAGAACCAGGTGATGCCCCCGGGGGTTGAGGGCAGATGGGGCGCAATCCAGGGTCTCCAACATATAGTGTGAGTGTACTGAGGGGCTGAGAGCATAGTGGGACCACAGTCCAGGGTCTCCAACCAGCAGTGTGAGTGCACTGGGGGGCTGAGAGCATAGTGGGACCACAGTCCAGGGTCTCCAACACGCAGTGTGAGTGCACTGGGGGGCTGAGAGCATAGTGGGACCACAGTCCAGGGTCTCCAACACGCAGTGTGAGTGTACTGGGGGGCTGAGAGCATAGTGGGACCACAGGCAAGGGTCTCCAACCAGCAGTGTGAGTGCACTGGGGGGCTGAGAGCATAGTGGGACCACAGGCAAGGGTCTCCAACACGCAGTGTGAGTGTACTGAGCAGCGTCTTAACCTCGATGCCCACTGACACACACACACATCTTCATTTCCTGTGGATGGCAATCCCCCAAAGGCAAAGAACACATTTTGCACTTTTGTCCTAAATTCCAAATCGCAGATTATTGAGAATTATACTCTAAGAAGGCAAATAAGAAGGATCACAACAAAGAAACCCAGAAGACAAAAACTGTAACTACTTTTTTAAAGAAAAACAATATAGCTCATGTGACTGTCATAGTCAGAAACCGTGCACTCACATGAATGCTTTCATCGGAAGGACAAGTGTACATAAAGTAGTTTTGTCAACACTCAGCTCATTCTTATAAAATTAATTACAAACTTTACATACCCAATTTCTTCCTTCTCTTTGCTCCTTGCAAATCTGAATTCCTTTAGTTTCCTTTCCATCTCTTCATTCTCCAATTCTAGCTGCACTTTTTCCATGCGTAGTTCCTGGGCATGTCTAAAGAAAACATGTTTAATGTGGAATGTTCACTTGGAGTAAGCAAAAGAAGAAGGGTAATTCTATGTAGTCTTCCATTTTCAAATTAAAATATTAATAATAAATAAATGAAACTTTTCAACTACTTCCTTTATACTTCTGTGCAATAAGGTTCCTAAAGTTTGTAGTTTTTAGCTGCTAGCATCCACCTCAATTCTTACACTTTTATTATAGTGTTGCAGGTTTAAGTCATAATTTTCTGTACACATAATTCTTGTCTTTACACATGCACATTCATGTCACAAAGTGGAAAAAGGAAAGTTAATTTGTAATCTTACTGTAACATTTCATTTTTTCAAACAGTGTGAATAACTTTTATACAGGCAAAACGAGCAATGTGGTAGAACCTCTACCATCCTGGGGAACTCCAATAAAAGCCAGCTTTTACATAAGCCATTCTTGCGAAGGAGGATTTAGTATTAACATCAGAAGTCCACCAACCTTTGGCCACAAGTTCCTCTTGTCCGTTTACAATTCTGGTTATTTAAAAGCATTAGGCACTGACTCTTCCACAGATTGAAGACAACCTAGTCTTCAGATTTCATTATCCATCATGAGCTTAAATATTCATTAATCATTATTACATGAATGTTCTTCAATCATCAAATAGCACAGAGGCACCCATGCATGCTGTGACAGGAAACCAAACTGACGAATAATGGATCTAGAAAAGGGGACTAATGTACAGGTATGATGAACACCCCCAAAACTAAACGGATGAGGGGACATGATCCTAGATACCCAGGAAAGGACACATCCAGAAACGGACAGGCTCCAAGCAGGCTCCAAGAGGGCTCCAGGAAGTCGGCCAAGACGCAGAAGGAACCTTTGCCTTCTCATTTACCCTACAAGAGCTTCAGCTCACACTCCAAATGAGCACTGTAACGGACGATATGAAACGTGGCAGAGCTTCCCACACGGAAGTGACTTCCAGCCCTGTCCTGGTCCTCTCCCTGGAGCACCAAGCTCCATGGCTGTGTGCATGCTCCAGCACTGGGGCAAAGGACAGCTTCCAGAGAAAGTGAGCCTCTACTGAGACCAAAGACAAACGCATTTATTCACAAGAAGTAGTGTATCTAACAATGAAAATGCCGTGTATTTCCAGTTCACCTTTTCTCAAGGTGGTCCTGTAACTGTGTGACAGCCTGGAGTGGGTGGCCTTTCCGGCCATTGTTGAAGGTCCCTCATCCTAATGGTCTCTCCAGTTTCAATTTTTCTTTAAAGTTTGAGATGATTCCTTCTACTTTGGAATCAGGGTCACAAAAATATGCTTAAGTGTCTTATGGAAAGCGAGCCCCACAATTTATTTATGACTTTTACTTTAACTCTTGTGGAACAAGTGTTTTCGTATCAATTTGTTTATACTGCCATAGATTGGTAATAAATCAAAATTACTTTCTTACTGCCAAAAAAACCCCACAAATGTGAATAAAATGGCAACAAGAATTCACACTTGAGTTTAACTCTAACCAATGTTACATAAACATTATTATATGCACAATTTAAATTGCAAAAAAAATAAACTTTTTAATTGTTTTTAAGAAAGAAAGAAATATATTTGTACTTACTTATATCTCAACTTGACAGAATTTCCAGATTTTCCCCATGGAAGAACAACAAAATCCTTGGTATTCATGATTTTTGTCTTAATATTGCCTAAAAATTATGCTGATTTGTGGAAACTCTGAAACAAAGTAACAAGAAAAAAATATGCAATAACTACATGTAATTCAGCAAATTTTAAAAACACAAATATTTATGAGGGAAAATTTTAATCAAAAGCTAAACACAAAATTGTCATATATGCTACAAATATGATGGGAATAATTTCATACTAACAAGATTTAAATGTAATATAGTATTTACAGGACTGAAATCTCACCATCATTTATATGTGTATTTCAAAAAGTTCATAAAAATGCATACTGTGAAAAATCTACACATGGATTACCAACAAATTGCACCAAAAGATATTTATCCTTTAATTCCACTTTTCATAAAATTTTGAACCCCACTTGCATATTAAAAGAATGAAAAAAAGTGAAATCAAAAAGAAAATGTATTTATTAAGACAAGTATATGTTTTCTTTTTCACGATTAAGATTACAAAAGACTTCATAGTTGTAGACACCATTTGCAACAAAACGGTTCAAACTAGAAATCATTATGCTTGGTGAAATAAGCTATCCCAAAAGGACAAATATATGTTCTCTCTGATATAAGGCAATCTTCATGCAAAATGCAAGATCAATAGACTTATAATTTACATACATTTATCCAGAGGATCTGTATAACGGAGACAAGTATACCATGAAGTGGAGACAGAATGCAGTGTGCATCTCTACTTCTAAATAAAATATGAACTCTCAATGAAACTGTTAAATATACCTTGACTCTAGAATGCTGGGCTTTCTGCTGTTGTCTATTAACTACAAAGTCAGGATACATTTAAACAGCAGAATAATGGACTTGCGACTGTTGTCGAAGGACTAACCCATCATTACAATATAGGGGAAATGGTAAAGCAGGAAATGGAATCCCTGAGCCTAACAAACTGTATCATAAAAAAAAGAACTTTTTAAATTAAAAATATTAGATTGGATTAAAGAAAAAACTTCAAACTGAAAAAAAAAAAGACTAATATGGCCGTGTACTGCAAAACATTTCAATCCACAATAGGCCATATATGCTTACGTGGTCCCATAAGATAGCATTCTGCAGTAACATGGCAAAGACTGTTGCCACTTTTCTTTGTGTAAGACTGTAAGTACATCCTATGATGTTGACTTGACGATCTAATTGCCTAAACACACATGTCTCAAATGCATCCATTGTAAGTGATGTAAGTGTGATCCAAAAACAAGGTACAGGGAAGTACACTGGGCGATAAAAGTATCTCTGAGTTATAATTTCAAGTCCAAAAACCCCTTTTCACATACGTATGAGTTTAAAATGAAAATTAAATGATGTAATAACTACCTAAAGGGAATCTAATATTCTTGTTATCACAGAAAATTTAATGATACTCTTTGGCATAGAGCAGAAATTAGCATATTTTAGGAAGAATTATTCAGTAAGAAATGAAACAAAAAAAAATATTTTGCCTAACTCTGAGTTAGCCAGAAAAGTTCGTTATTCAGAACGGTCTATTTCCTGAGTATCCCAGTTACTCATGGTTCTGAACTCATTTACTTGGTAAAGCTGAATTACTGAATCCATTTTTATATAAGTAAAAATCTCCAAATTCCTAAAATTGTATTTAAAACTATATCTCCATTTCACACCTACTGTACATCCCCTTAAATGAAAAGCCATGATACAAAATCAACAATAGAAAGAAAAATAGAAATTTACAATGCCATGAAGTTAATAACATGTTACTAGATATGACAGTCTCCATTACACAGCTACTACACATCCTCTTAAATGAAGAGCCACAAAACAAACTCAGTATCCGGGAGAAAAAAGAAATTAACAACACCAAGAAGTTAAATAACACGGGATGTACAATAGCTGTGAAATGAAGACTAACATTCAGATGTGAGGATGTAGTGTGGTATGCATTTCTGCTTCCAGACAAAGATGGACTTACAATGAAACTGTTTACTATATCTTGACAATAGGATTCTGGACTCTCTGCCATTCTCCATGCCTGCAATGACGGACATATGACTGAGTATGATGAACTATATGTTATTAATGATATAGAGGAACTAGGTGGGGGGGGAGGAAATTGGGGAGGGGATCAGGGAATATGGAACTGTATCATAAAATGATAGCAATAATAATAAAATTAAAAAAAAACATATCTGAAACAGTGTCACAGTCACCATAATGTTAAATGCCAAAAGCACTGGATCCCAGAAGTTTATCCACAAATTCCTAGGTGTGCATAACCCTAACAAATAGTTAGTAAAGCATTTTTAACTGTGCGTCACTGTGCTGAATGGCATGGATGAATCAAGAGCAAGGCATGCTTGTTCTCTGAGCTTAAATAGAGTCTTTTAAGGTATGTAGGACCCATGTATAAATTCATAAGAAAACATAGAAACTAGAAAAGTCTTTAAAATATATGGATGTAAAAATACAGGAAGTGAGAGCAAGGAGAGAATGCAAGCTGGCTTACACCTGAGTGAAGCTTAGAAGGAACTGACGTCTTTACAGGTCACAGTGTGCCTGGAAGGAAAATCCTGCATTATTGGTAAGAGCAATTGATGAATAGGGACCCAAAGACTGGTAACAGTTGATTGATATGTGGGATGTATGGAAGATCAAAGCAGACATAAGTTTGAAGACCTGGAGTGGTATTGCACGCCACTAATTTTTTTATTTATTCTGCAGCTAATGAAGGCCCTTCCCTTCCCTTCCCTTCCCTTCCCTTCCCTTCCCTTCCCTTCCCTTCCCTTCCCTTCCCTTCCCTTCCCTTCCCTTCCCTTCCCTTCCCTTCCCTTCCCTTCCCTTCCCTTCCCTTCCCTTCCCTTCCCTTCCCTTCCCTTCCCTTCCCTTCCCTTCCCTTCCCTTCCCTTCCCTTCCCTTCCCTTCCCTTCCCTTCCCTTCCCTTCCCTTCCCTTCCCTTCCCTTCCCTTCCCTTCCCTTCCCTTCACTTCCCTTCACTTCCCTTCACTTCCCTTTTCTTTTTTCTTCTTCTCCTCCCAGAAAAGCTAAGTTACAAAGACAAGAGGAAAGGCAAAGACACAGCTCTTCCTTCCCACTCACTGGTTCAGTGCCCGCAGGGCCACAAAGCTGGGCTTGAGCTGGGTTGAAGCCTGAAGCCAGAGCCTCATTCAGACCTTCCCAGTGGGAACAAGGCCCAAGCACCTGAGCTAATTTCCAGCTTCGCTGAGAGCTGGATCAGAGATGCAGCAGCAGGGTCTGAAACCAACGCCTGTATGGCTTGCCAACATTGCAGACGGAGGCTTGGCGTGCTTCTGCAGCCCCAACCAAAGTTTCAGAAGAAACCACTGAAAATAAGTCTGGAAACTTGAACATTTAAAGAAGTCTGGTATCAAAATTACTCAAATGGAAGGTTAATTCAAAGGCAAACCTACACAACCGAATGAACCACTGAATGATTTTGCTCATTTTAGTGAGACAATCACTGATAAAGTCATTCTAAAAGGCTTTGTTAAAAGCTATCTGCCTTGCACATCCCAGGATCCCATATGGGTGCCGGTTCTAATCCCAGCAGCTCCACTTCCCATCCAGCTCCCTGCTTGTGACCTGGAAAAGCAGTTGAGGACGGCCCAAAGCCTTGGGAACCTGCACCCATGTGGGAGACCTGGAGGAAGTTTCTGGCTCCTGGTTTCAGATCAGCACAGCACCGGCCATTTCAGTCACTTGGGGAGTGAATCATTGAACAGAAGATCTTTCTCTCTGTCTATGCTCCTCTCTGTATATCTGCCTTTCCAATAAAAAATAAATATATCTTAAAAACAACAACAACAGCTACCTGCACATTGGGGCCAGCATTGTGGCACAGCCAGCTAAACCCCAACCTGTGATGCCATATGCCCTAACAGCCCAGGTTCAAGTCCCAGCTGTCCCGTTCTAGAAGTATTTATTATACATTTAGGGAGCAAACCAGTGAATGTAAGATTCTTTCTCTCCATGAGTTTCTCTTCCTTGATCTGTAACTCTACTTTTCAGATAAATAAAAAAATAAATGTTGAAAAATTAAAGCTATCTACACAGTACATCATATATCCCAAAGAGACAAAATTGTCACTTGCATCATTTAAACTTAAAAATGGTTATGCAGTAGGAACAACTATTTTGTTTACTCAAATACACCTGTACATGATTTGGACTACCTCTCAAACTCAAATAAAACTTGAAGAAGTAAGCTCTCACCACGTGGCACAAAATTCTAAGGATATGTATTCTCTAACGAAAAATGAGATCACACAAAATAATTTTTCACTTTAAGCAATATACGGGTTCCTCCCCGTGACCTTATTACAGTTAGTTAATTCTCGGTTAGCAAGAAGACATGGGGTCTTCCCTCAGGGAAGTCACAGGGAGGCACTCTACATGCAAGAGCCCAGATGCATTGCTTAGCCACCAAACCACGTCTCTTAAGACTAAAAGCAATGTAGAAGACTACTAACTATGAGAAGCTGCGTCTTGGTTTGCCTTTTGGGGGCGGCGGGAAGGGAATTGGTGCAATTTTCAAAGGGAATTTCTTTCCTCTGCCCCGCGTCTGGTAATCACTTGGACGGGCAGTATTTTGCCTCACTTTTACCAAAGGAATGCCACAAAAGCTGTCCTTAAAACTCTCCTGGAAAATCCTGCTCGGTTGCAAACATTCCGTCTCACCATGTGATCACGCTCAGGAGATCTGCTGGCCTGTAGCTTCCCTTGACAACATCTTCATAAGAAATTCTAGAAGATTATCATTATTAAAGACATAAAATAATTTTCAAGGTTAATTTCCTTAATTAAAATAACCCAGGTTGCCTTATTTTATTTACACTTCCAAATGCACTATAATTTTATGTGTGTGTCCACTGGCATACAGCTAAACTGATACACAATGATTGATTTTACCTATACACAGAACGAAAGAAAAGACGGTAAATCATATTAGAATGAAATGATTCAGATTTATAGCTCTGCTGATAATCAGATTTAAGCAGA